GGGCCCCCCTCAATCTTAATACTACACCTGCCTTTTCTAGGGGAGCAAATCTACTTGTGGTTTGCTACCCAGAAAGGGCCCATGGCTATGACAGTGAGCTCGCAGACACCCAAGAGGTTGCACCTTCTGAGTAGGCATCTGCACTCTGTAACTGACTCCCCTTCCCAGCCTCACCCCCCTAGGAACCCAGCAAAGACAAAGAGCCAGGACCTGTAGACATTTATATTTATTAGTTTCCAGACTCCCAGAAGACACTTAGCTAAAGCGGAACATTGCAAACTGACAGTTCTCGAAGCACTCTTCCCTAAACAGGAAGTGTTTAGATGAATTTAGCAATTAGCAGTACTTTAAAGACAGATAACAAGTCACGGTTTCTCTATTAGCATCTGTGATCTAAACAGTGAACTAAACACACAGAGTCATCCAGGTTTGTCTGAGAGATCATTTAAAGCTGCACAATGCAGACGGGAATCTGTAGGGTTGACAGCTGGATGCTGGCATGGACTAAGCAATTCACTCACAACACCGTTTATCCTCCGCTTCTCGGTCAGGGCAACAAAAAGAGCGGACAGCTGCCTGAAAACTAGCTCACATGCCACTCAGCCAGATCATCAGTGTGTAAATCACACTCTTTATATTTGTCAAATATTTTTGTCACAGCTCTTATAAAAACAAACAAACAACATCACACATAACATCAGATATTTGCTTCAAAGGCCTAAACATCGAAAGCAGCCACAATGTGCTGGAAACAGCTTTTACAGATTTCCTGAGGGGCAGCTCTGTCTTTTCAGAGAGGGTGTTTTTAAAGAAGCACCAACCCTGACAGCTTATCAAACTACTTTCTATCCTAAATTAACAAAGCCTCACGCAAGGTCTCAGGAGCACTCAGCCTTCTTCCTCCAGGCCCCGGAACCGGCCAACACCGTTTCTTGGCAGAAAGCTTTCATTTGTGTTACAGTGGTGCAAGCTAACTTACAACCCTTTGAAAAATACTCAAAACGCTGGGGAGAGGTGGCCCAAGCCTTGCTCAGAGATGCAGTCTGTGATGGGAACCCCAAAGGCTTATCTTAAACCCATCAACTCAAGTTGCCAGAAAGTACTGACAGATCACCCACCTGGGCAAGGCAGACCTAGATCTCACTGTGCTCCTTACACACACTAAGTAAAGCCTCCTGGGAGTTACCGTCCAGAAAAACACAGCCTACTGAGAGGGGACCCACTGTGTTCTACCATCTGGCACTGGGGAAGTAGAGTAAAACATTTGCAAAACCATGATAAGGGGTGCATGACAGTCTTACATGAACCTTAACCTTTCCACAGTATTTCATTCCTTAATAAAAATGCCTACAATTTTGGAAAGCTTTGGGGGCAGCACCAGTGACAGCTAGCTGTCTTTGAATAATTTTTCCCCCCTCTGAAGGCAAAATTCAGGTAAAAATTTGTCACCATAATCTACGGAATGGATTTTGTTTTATGATTATCTCAGGTCGGTTGCTACAGGAAGAATGTAAGTAGAAATGCACACATCCATTCTATGAGCAGTTAGGTTTCTACTGACTTTTCCTCAGGGGAGGGAACAAGTGGCACCTCCGAGGATTAAGGGTAGCTCATGGCTCCCTGTAGCCCTGACAGTGTCTACACGGGCTACTGGCCTGAGGATTTTACTGCGAAGTGTCTTTAGGCTTTCTGACCTGCCACACACTAGCAGCTGAGTCCCCCCACAGAGCAGGGTACTGACAGGGCTAAAGCCACTTGCCCAAGACACTGTGCCCTAGATGCTCCCAACATGACTGATCTCTTGCCATAATTTGGTCCCTGAAAGGAAGCACCAGTGCCTCCCAACGCCTGACAAACCGCCTCAAGAGCAGCTCTCCGATGCCAACGCAGGAGGGTCACCTCCTACGAGGTCCTGAGACTGCTGGAGAGCAGGTCCTCACGACTAGCGACGACTTCAAAGACTGAAGTTGGAGGTTTAAAAATAAGTACTCTCCCTACCAAGTGTCTCAGGCCTGAGTCCCTAAGGCTACTGGAGACCAGCTTTGGTGCATGTAGCTGTTTAGGACCCCTCTGGTAAGCAGGGGCGGGGCGGAGGGGGTATGCTTCCAGGGCTCTTTCATCCGGGTGCCACTTCACCTTTAATGAAGTGACTTCCACAGTGACAACCACTTTTTTTTTAACAGTGACAATCACTTTTTTGTTAAGCAGCATACACATCATTACAGCCTATATTTTTCTTCTTTAAAAAATATTTCTCCAATAATAAAGCCAATATAGTTTTTAAATGGACTAAAAAATAATTATAATGTTTTCTACAAAGCCACACAGTTACTGGGCAGTACTGATTCCAGAATCACTGTCTAAAGCAAATAAAGCAATGGGAACACATTACCCACAATTTAAAAATGATTTTCATAGTCAGCACTGTCAAGTTGGGAAAATTGAGAAATCACTCCTAACATGGCCATACAAAAATTATGTGTAAACATAAAAACAGGCATCTGGTTAAAATTAACATGGTTAGATCTAAGTATTAGAATCAGTGAAAATGACTGTATTCCCTTTATTCCAAATTTCCAGATTATTGAAAAAATATATTCAGTAAAGCTTCTAGTTGAGACCTAAGAGGAGGAGATGGATGGGAAAGGCCAAGCAGGGCAGAATGGGACAGAGGCATAGGCAGGGTTGCTTGAGGATTAAATAAGACAACCATTAATTTGGGAACTGAGTAGACAGGCTATTAAGAAGGGAACTGACCTTAGCATATGCACTCCCCGCTCCAGCCCACATTCGCACCCTGGAACGTCAATAATAAAACTTCAGTGCATCTTGTCTGGCTCTATGGAGCATATTTGAAAATGTATTTGAAGAGAAAAACAAAGAAACAGAAAAAACAAAATAATGAAAAAAACTCCCACCAATTTCCCTTTAGGGATGTGTCAATTTTACACGCTCTTCTTCCTTTGGGATGCCCTATAAACGCAGAGTTCCCTGAACAGTTTCAGGGGGATTCTCTCGGATACACATCAGACAAGGCTGGGTGCTGGGAAGTGGGAAGAACAGTCAAGAGCAGTCAAGAATCCTGCTGCCCTCTTAAGGAAGCTATTCTGAGAACTTTCCTTGTCCGTTAGTAGGCAGGAATGCAATTTGGGGATGGCTGCTAAAGATGGCAGTGTTTTCTGATTAGTTCCAAGGTGATTCCTCCTAATGACATCCGTGACAATGGCTTCCTTCTGTCGCCCCTGCCCTGCTCTTAAGACTAGGAGTCCTAGAAAGCTCTGAAAGAGGAATGCGAATGATTCATGGCACTTAAACCTGTTTGGGCCTTTAAATGCTTCTCTGGAACAGTTTGTCCCAATCCCCCAGTGAGGTAGGTGTCTGATGGGAGAACTGAGGCACAAAGGGGTTAACTCAGCTCACCTCACACTGTGTGAGGACCCACAGGCCATCTGGCAGAAGGACCAGACTCCAGCCTGCTTTGCTCAGAAGGCCTGGCTAAGTTACACAGTAAATACAACCCAGGAAAATTTTCTCTTCAAACATTTTAACCAGTCAGTCATTTCACGTTGCACCTAAGTTATCTGAAATAAAATCAAAGATAAGCTAACAAAACAAAAATCCATATTGCCTAACATTCTGTGTCAAGATGAACACTATTCTGCACAGGTGGCTGAAAAACAGAATACATTGTGATTCAAGTAGAAGCGTTAGGTTAGTGGGTCCTATCTGTTCCTTCTATTCCAGCCAGGTCATGGGGGAGGTGCCCGTATCCTCTGACACACCACCCACTGTACTCTTTGGCCTGATACTAGGGAAGAAAAACCACCACCGTGCTTCACGGTAGAACCCTCCTACAGGGGATTCTCCACAGGGCCAGCCCCCTGGGAAGGGGGGCTTGCAGCCAGGCAATGTGGGCGTAGTACTGAGTTCAGGCAGAACTCTTTGAAGCCAGACACCAGGGTCACAGTCACCTGCCATACAGCTCACAAGACAGCTCACACTAGGGAGGGCAGCACCACAGGGTACATGCAATAGCACCGGGCCACGGGAGGCACAGAGGAGAACACGAAGCCACCATGCAAGGATCATGCTGTCCCTTCTGGCATGCCATGTGCAGAGGCTGCCTCTGGGAAGGGCAAAGGAGGAGGCCCTGTGCTCCTTCCCACAGAAAGGAGAGGGATGGAAACTGAGCGGTCGACTCTCCCTATCATACCTGTGAGGCTGGAAGCTTTTCTAGGTCTTACAAGACAGTCAGTGACGATACTTTCATTTTTCGATCAGGAGATACTGGTGTGGAGCAGAAGCAAAGGTCCGTCACCAGGGGTGGGTGCAGAGCCCCAGGGCGGTTTACACAGCGACTCAGAGCCAAATCCACGAGTCCTCAGAGCAATAGCATTTAGAAATGAGATATTAGGCTTTTGAAGTGACATCCTTTTTGCTTTAGCGCTATAGTCTCTGAGGGGTAAGAATTTGATTCCCATCAGAGCCCCTAGTTCATATGGCAGAGCACATATTCCGTGAGTTCTGAGCATCGGAAGCAGACCACCACACCAATCAGATACTTCTGCCTTAATACCAATGGCAGCACACTCCCTTCCCTCCTGACACCTGCCCCTCCTCTCGGCGCTCATCTCCCAGGGGCCCGGGCCTGGGCCTGGCTCCGTCCTCTGCACATGCAAGACCAGAGGGACTCGTCCCAGCTCAGTCCAGCCTCAGTGGGACACTAGGATACAGCAGAACAGCAATCCATGCATTTTATTTCTACCAAGCCGCGCTAGTGGGAGGCTGAGCTCGACGGTCACTGCGCAAGATGGACAAGCAGGACATTCTCACCACGAATGAAAATTTGATTAATGTGGCGAGTGAATACCTGCTGGTAATCCACTTTGGGCTTTCGCTTTTTCTTACGGGGCTGGCCCCTGGACAGGGTGGTGGCCCTGGAAAAGGTACCTCCAGTACTGGACCCTTCGGTCCGTGTAGTCCTCCCTGACAACTCTGACCTGGACTCCTCCCTTCCAGACGCCTGCAAGGAAGAAGGGAGTGAGCGGGAGTGCTGGCGTGAGCCGCGGTCCGTGTCTCCTCTTCCCCACACGGAAGCCACCTTCCAGGTGGAAGTCTGCGAGTATCTGGACAGAGTAGAGTCTTCCACGGCAGATTTAGAATCTGCTTCCTTCCTGGCGGAATCCTGAAGTTTGAGCCGATCAAAGAGCTGTAAAGAAAGCCGTTACATACATGAGCCTCCCCCTTCGTGCTTGCTGCCCCTCTTTTCACATCCAGAAAAGGACCAGATCGCTTAAGTATTCTCTGTGGTCTCTTAGCTCTATACTTTTTAAAAAGTTGGTAGTGATTTTTCTATTTGGAGGTGTAACTCCGACAAATCGTTGGATGTGCTGGGAGAAAAGGCACCTGCTGACTTTACTTCTGTGTCTTAGACGGGGTAGCTCATTGCTCTGATCACAAGCAGCTTACTCCTGCTGGAAGCAGGGCAGGTGAAGAGAATGAAGCTCTTGGGACCGGTAACAGGGCTTCCCGCCAGCAGAGGCAGCCGAGAGCGCTGTGATCTGCCTGCCTCAGCGCAGAGCAGGCTGGGCACTCAGTAAGTCAGAGAGCTGCCTACCCGAGTGAGAGTCAGGGACGAATCCCGTTCGTATGCTTTGCCCAGAACAGGTTTTCGGTATGTCTCGTCCACATCAGTAAGTGCCTAGAGGAAAAAGGGGGAAATGAGGCAGAATTTAAAATATCTGTAGGGGTTTCAGATTAAAAAACAACACCACCAGCATAACATCTAATTGCAGCAGCACTAAACAAATGACCCAGGGCAGGTAGTGTGGACAGAAGAAAATGGAACCACCTGGCGCTCTCCTAAGGAGAACTGCCAAGCTGCTCCCCTCAAGGGCCTGGTCAGCTGCTGCTGTCGCTGTCTCTTTGATGCATGGCGTGTGGGTTTCAGAGTACAACTGCTCCACAAGGTTCTCATGGCGGGGACCTTGCTTCCCTGGTATCTCTGGTGGGTTTGAACCGACAACCTGAGGTTTGTAGCTGCAGGCTCGGCCACTTGTGCCACTGGGGGACTCCACTATGCACACTGGAGGTCCTTAAACTGCAGTGTGCATAGCAATCAAGGTGCTGCAATTTCCAGAGATTCTGATTTAAGTCTGGGACGCTGCTAAGCAGTCTTCTGTTTTGACCAGAAATCCCAGGCAAGTTGGAAGAAAAGTGGCCTTAGAGTCAGTGGTTCTCAACCTGTGAGTTGCGACCCCTTTGGGGGTCACCCGATTCCTTATCAGTGGCAAAATTACAGTTATGAAGTAGCAACGAAAATAACTTTATGTTTGGGGGGTCACCACAACATGAGGAACTGTATTAAAGGCTTGCGGGTCTCAGAAGGTTGAGAACCACTGCCTTAGACCATATGTGGAGAAATGCCATTCCCGGTCCCTTTTTTATGTCTTATGACAGCAACCAGGAGGGAGGTGCCAGGGTCACACACAGGGCGGGGAGCACCTGGCTCTGAGAGGCCATCCTCACAGGACAGCTGTGTGGATCAAGTGAGACCATGTGGAAGATGTCACCTGGAAACCTGTCAGGCACTACAAATGTCAGGTCCCACCCTCGTCACCATCACCACCACCACCACCACCACCACCACCATTCCAGCAAACGTATTCTCTTCAGTCCTTCCCCATCAAGAGTAAAATTATAAGGTTACCCCACCCCGTCCCACCCCTTTTAGAGATGAAGAAACGGAGGCTCAGAGAAAGTACTTTGTCACGCAGCACTAAAGCTAAGATTCAAATCCAGATCCTCCGTCTCCAAAATGGCTGAGAGCACGGGCTAGAGTCGGGAAGAGCCTGCATAACATCCTGGTACTTCCACTTTCGAACAGTGACCTGAGGCCAATCCTCGGCGGACGGACCGGATGGCTCGAGCCTCAATTTCTTCATCTGTAAAGTGGAGCAGTTCACTCATTGAGATAATACATGTAAAGCCACGAATACAGCATCTGGTATACGGCAAATGCTCCTGTAAGCAGGCGCATAAACTACTGTTCTATGGATTAAGCTCAGGAAAAATAAAATTGGAGCTGGAGAAGAAACAGAAAGCTCTGTGGATTCTATTTTATCTACCTAGTATTCTTACTGTCTGTGATGGCGCCCTTCTCACCTATTGCCGCCCCGTCACCAGACAGTAAAGTCTTAGAGGCAAAGGTGCAAAAACCTCTTCACAAGGTGGTACCACACACAGTGCCTGCCATGTTAACAAGGCTCGCCTAGCCATACCTACTTTCCTAAACACTGCAGCGGGGACATTCCCTGACTGGGGCACGGGTCACATGTCACACACTTCTGTATGTAGTCACAGGGTCCAAGCAAAGTAAGCAATCAATGCCTGTTTTTAAATGAATGGAAGAATGGCTGGCAGCGATCCTTGAACCAACTACAAGCTTTTCTTTCTTGGTATGTTTTAATTTGTTCTTTGTCAGTGGCTTGATGTTGCTGTTTTGTTGTACATTGTTGCTTGGTTTTGCTGTCTTGTTTTTGTGCATGTTGTTGTCTC